CACCCTGTCTCTCTCTCACCCTGTCTCTCTCTCTCCCTGTCTCTCTCTCTCCCTGTCTCTCTCTCACCCTGTCTCTCTCTCACCCTGTCTCTCTCTCACCCTGTCTCTCTCTCACCCTGTCTCTCTCTCACCCTGTCTCTCTCTCACCCTGTCTCTCTCTCACCCTGTCTCTCTCACCCTGTCTCTCTCTCACCCTGTCTCTCTCTCACCCTGTCTCTCTCTCTCACCCTGTCTCTCTCCCTGTCTCTCTCATCCCTGTCTCTCTCTCTCACCCTGTCTCTCTCTCACCCTGTCTCTCTCTCACCCTGTCTCTCTCTCTCCCTGTCTCTCTCTCACCCTGTCTCTCTCTCACCCTGTCTCTCTCTCTCACCCTGTCTCTCTCTCACCCTGTCTCTCTCTCACCCTGTCTCTCTCTCACCCTGTCTCTCTCTCACCCTGTCTCTCTCTCTCACCCTGTCTCTCTCTCTCCCTGTCTCTCTCTCACCCTGTCTCTCTCTCTCACCTGTCTCTCTCTCACCCTGTCTCTCTCTCACCCTGTCTCTCACTCACTCACCCTGTCTCCCACTCACCCTGTCTCTCTCTCACTCACCCTGTGTCTCTCACTCACCCTGTCTCCCACTCACCCTGTCTCTCTGTCTCCCACTCACCCTGTCTCTCACTCACTCACCCTGTCTCCCACTCACCCTGTCTCTCTGTCTCCCACTCACCCTGTCTCTCTCTCACCCTGTCTCTCTCTCACCCTGTCTCTCACCCTGTCTCTCTCTCACCCTGTCTCTCTCTCTCACCCTGTCTCTCTCTCTCCCTGTCTCTCTCTCACCCTGTCTCTCTCTCACCCTGTCTCTCTCACCCTGTCTCTCTCTCACCCTGTCTCTCTCTCACCCTGTCTCTCTCTCACCCTGTCTCTCTCTCACCCTGTCTCTCTCTCACCCTGTCTCTCTCTCACCCTGTCTCTCTCTCACCCTGTCTCTCTCTCATCCTGTCTCTCTCTCCCTGTCTCTCTCACCCTGTCTCTCTCTCTCCCTGTCTCTCTCACCCTGTCTCTCTCTCACCCTGTCTCTCTCTCACCCTGTCTCTCTCTCACCCTGTCTCTCTCACCCTGTCTCTCTCTCACCCTGTCTCTCTCTCACCCTGTCTCTCTGACCCTGTCTCTCTCTCTCCCTGTCTCTCTCTCACCCTGTCTCTCTCTCACCCTGTCTCTCTCTCACCCTGTCTCTCTCTCACCCTGTCTCTCTCTCTCCCTGTCTCTCTCTCACCCTGTCTCTCTCTCACCCTGTCTCTCTCTCTCTCTCACCCTGTCTCTCTCACCCTGTCTCTCTCTCTCCCTGTCTCTCTCTCTCCCTGTCTCTCTCTCACCCTGTCTCTCTCTCACCCTGTCTCTCTCTCTCACCCTGTCTCTCTCTCACCCTGTCTCTCTCTCACCCTGTCTCTCTCTCACCCTGTCTCTCTCTCACCCTGTCTCTCTCTCTCTCTCACCCTGTCTCTCTCTCTCCCTGTCTCTCTCTCTCCCTGTCTCTCTCTCACCCTGTCTCTCTCTCACCCTGTCTCTCTCTCTCCCTGTCTCTCTCTCACCCTGTCTCTCTCTCACCCTGTCTCTCTCTCACCCTGTCTCTCTGACCCTGTCTCTCTCTCTCCCTGTCTCTCTCTCACCCTGTCTCTCTCTCACCCTGTCTCTCTCTCACCCTGTCTCTCTCTCACCCTGTCTCTCTCTCACCCTGTCTCTCTCTCCCTGTCTCTCTCTCACCCTGTCTCTCTCTCTCCCTGTCTCACTCTCACCCTGTCTCTCTCTCACCCTGTCTCTCTCTCTCCCTGTCTCTCTCTCTCACCCTGTCTCTCTCTCACCCTGTCTCTCTCACCCTGTCTCTCTCACCCTGTCTCTCCCTCACCCTGTCTCTCTCTCTCACCCTGTCTCTCTCTCACCCTGTCTCTCTCTCACCCTGTCTCTCTCTCTCCCTGTCTCTCTCACCCTGTCTCTCTCTCCCTGTCTCTCACCCTGTCTCTCTCTCACCCTGTCTCTCTCTCTCACCCTGTCTCTCTCTCACCCTGTCTCTCTCTCTCACCCTGTCTCTCTCTCACCCTGTCTCTCTCACCCTGTCTCTCTCTCACCCTGTCTCTCTCTCTCTCCCTGTCTCTCACCCTGTCTCTCTCTCACCCTGTCTCTCTGACCCTGTCTCTCTCTCTCCCTGTCTCTCTCTCCCTCACCCTGTCTCTTACCCCGTCTCTCTCTCTCCCCCTGTCTCTCACCCTGTCTCTCTTCCTTCGACAACAACCACAGAGAAAGACAGAGACAGACAGGGAGACAGAGGGAGAGAGAAAGAGACAGAGAGAGATGCCACGTGTGGTATTCCATGCAGTTACAGAGAAACGAGGTCTCAGGAATGTGTGAGTCTGACAGACTCACTTACACACTCATACACTCACACACTCATACACTCACACACTCATACACTCACTCACTCATACACTCACTCATACACTCACTCACACACTCACTCACACACTCACTCATACACTCACTCACTCATACACTCACTTACTCATACACTCACTCATTCATACACTCACTCATACACTCACTTACTCATACACTCACTCACTCATACACTCACTCACTCATACATTCACTCATACACTCACACACTCATACATTCACTCATACACTCACTCACTCATACACTCACTCACACACTCATACACTTACACACTCACTCATCCACTCACTCACACACTCACTCACACACTCATACACTCACTCACTCATACACTCACTCACTCATACACTCACTCACACACTCACTCATACACTCACTCACTCATACACTCACTCACACACTCACTCACTCACACACTCACTCACACACTCATACACTCACACACTCATACACTCACTTACTCATACACTCACTCACTCATACACTCACTCATACACTCACTGATACACTCACTCATCCACTCACTCACTCATACACTCACTCACTCATACACTCATTCATACACTCACGCATACACTCACTCACTCATACACTCACTCACACACTCACTCACTCACACACTCATACACTCACACACTCATACACTCACTCACTCATACACTCACTCATACACACACTCACTCACACACACTCATACACTCACTCATACACTCACTCAAACAATCATACTCACTCACACACTCACTCACTCACACACTCATACACTCACTCATACACTCACTCATACACTCACTCACACACTCATACACTCACTCATACACTCACTCATACACTCACTCACACGCTCATACACTCACTCACTCATACACTCACTCACACATACACTCACTCACACACTCACTCACACACTCATACACTCACTCATACAATCATACTCACACATACACTCACTCATACACTCACTCACTCATACACTCACTCATACACTCACTCATTCACACACTCATACACTCACTCACACACTCATACACACACTCACACACTCACCCACCCACCCATGTTGCAGCAGCCAATGATTTAATGGGGGAGGGGTGTTCGTTACAAACTTGACGCGTCTGATGATTGTTAAACTCTCACGAATGCCAAAGCTCCCCCAGGTAGCCTCTAGCAGAGCTGTAAGGGCAAGTGCTGAGACACAGACAAAGCTCCCCCAGGTAGCCTCTAGCAGGGCTGTAGGGGCAAGTGCTGAGACACAGACAAAGCTCCCCCAGGTAGCCTCTAGCAGGGCTGTAGGGGCAAGTGCTGAGACACAGACAAAGCTCCCCCAGGTAGCCTCTAGCAGGGCTGTAGGGGCAAGTGCTGAGACACAGACAAAGCTCCCCCAGGTAGCCTCTAGCAGGGCTGTAGGGGCAAGTGCTGAGACACAGACAAAGCTCGCCCAGGTAGCCTCTAGCAGGGCTGTAGGGGCAAGTGCTGAGACACAGACAAAGCTCCCCCAGGTAGCCTCTAGCAGGGCTGTAGGGGCAAGTGCTGAGACACAGACAAAGCTCCCCCAGGTAGCCTCTAGCAGGGCTGTAGGGGCAAGTGCTGAGACAGACAAAGCTCCCCCAGGTAGCCTCTAGCAGGGCTGTAGGGGCAAGTGCTGAGACACAGACAAAGCTCCCCCAGGTAGCCTCTATCTGGGCTGTAGGGGCAAGTGCTGAGACACAGACAAAGCTCCACCAGGTAGCGTCTAGCAGGGCTGTAGGGGCAAGTGCTGAGACAGAGACAAAGCTCCCCCAGGTAGCCTCTAGCTGGGCTGTAGGGGACAGTGCTGAGACAGAGACAAAGCTCCCCCGTGTCTCCCACCCACCGTGTCTCCCCGTGTCTCTCCCCCCGTGTCCCCCCGTGTCTCTCCCCCGTGTCTCCACCCCCCGTGTCTCCACCCCCCGTGTCTCCCCCGTCTCTCTCCGTCTCTCTCCGTGTCTCCCCGTGTCTCCCCGTGTCTCTCTCCCCCCGTGTCTCCCCGTGTCTCCCCGTGTCTCTCCCCGTGTCTCTCTCCCCCCGTGTCTCCCCGCGTCTCCCCCGTGTCTCCCACCCACCGTGTCTCCCCGTGTCTCCACCCCCCGTGTCTCCGTGTCTCCCCCGTGTCTCTCTCCCTGTCTCCCCGTGTCTCTCCCCGTGTCTCCCCCGTGTCTCCACCCCCCGTGTCTCCCCCCCCCCCGTGTTTCCCCCGTGTCTCCACCCCCCGTGTCTCCCCGTGTCTCCCCGTGTCTCTCTCCCCATGTCTCCCCGTGTCTCCCCGTGTCTCCCCCCCCCGTGTCTCCCCGTGTCTCCACCCCCCGTGTCTCCGTGTCTCCCCCGTGTCTCTCCCCGTGTCTCCACCCCCCGTGTCTCCCCGTGTCTCCACCCCCCGTGTCTCCCCGTGTCTCCCCGTGTCTCCCCGTGTCTCCGTGTCTCCCCGTGTCTCCCCGTGTCCCCCGGTGTCTCCGTGTCTCCGTGTCTCTCCCCGTGTCTCTCCGTGTCTTCCCGTGTCTCCCCGTGTCTCCGTGTCTCTCCCCGTGTCTCTCCGTGTCTTCCCGTGTCTCCCCGTGTCTCCCCGTGTCTCCGTGTCTCCCCGTGTCTCCATGTCTCCCCCCGTGTCTCCCCGTGTCTCAGGTCTCCATGGTGCTGATCACATTCCTTGTGAACTCCGTGGTGGACGCGTAGCCTCCCATGTCTGCGGTACGGACCTGGGGAGACACACGGGAGAGAGACACGGGGAGAGAGACACGGGGAGAGAGACACGGAGACACGGGGAGAGAGAGAGACACGGGGAGAGAGACACGGAGATACGGGGAGACACACGGGGAGAGAGACGGGGAGAGAGACACGGGGAGAGAGACACGGGGAGACACGGGGAGAGACACGGGGAGACACGGGGAGAGAGACACGGGGAGAGAGACACGGGGAGAGAGACACGGAGACACGGGGAGAGACACGGGGAGAGAGACACGGAGACACGGAGACACGGGGAGAGAGACACGGAGACACGGGGAGAGACACGGGGAGAGAGACACGGAGACACGGGGAGAGACACGGAGACACGGGGAGACACGGGGGGAGAGATACGGGGGGGGAGAGACACGGAGAGAGACACGAAGACACGGGGAGAGACACGGAGACACGGGGAGAGACACGGGGAGAGACACGGGGAGAGAGACACGGAGACACGGGGAGAGACACGGAGACACGGGGAGAGACACGGAGACACGGGGAGAGACACGGGGAGAGACACGGGGAGAGAGACACGGAGACACGGGGAGAGACACGGAGACACGGGGAGAGACACGGAGACACGGGGAGAGACACGGGGGGTGGAGACACGGGGAGAGACACGGGGGGGGTGGAGACACGGGGGGTGGAGACACGGGGAGAGACACGGGGAGACACGGGGAGAGAGACACGGGGAGAGACACGGGGAGAGACACGGGGGGGAGAGACTCGGGGGGAGACACGGGGGGAGACACGGGGGGAGACACGGGGAGACACGGGGAGAGAGACACGGAGATACGGGGAGACACACGGGGAGAGAGACGGGGAGAGAGACACGGGGAGACACGGGTAGACACGGGGAGAGAGACACGGGGAGAGAGACGGGGAGAAAGACACGGGGAGAGAGACACGGGGAGACACGGGGAGAGAGACACGGGGAGACACGGGGAGAGAGACACGGAGACACGGGGAGAGACACGGGGAGACACGGGGGGAGACACGGGGGGTGGAGACACGGGGAGAGAGACACGGGGAGAGAGACACGGAGATACGGGGGGAGACACGGGGAGACACGGGGGAGACACGGGGAGACACACGGGGGAGACACGGGGGGTGGAGACACGGGGGGTGGAGACACGGGGGGTGGAGACACGGGGAGAGACACGGGGGGTGGAGACACGGGGGGTGGAGACACGGGTAGACACGGGGAGATACACGGAGACACGGGGAGAGAGACACGGAGATACGGGGAGAGACACGGGGGGAGACACGGGGGGGAGAGAGACACACGGAGAGACACGGGGGAGACACGGGGAGAGACACGGGGAGACACGGGGAGAGAGACACGGAGACACGGGGAGAGACACGGGGGGAGACACGGGGGGAGACACGGAGGGAGAGACACGGGGAGAGATACGGGGAGAGACACGGGGAGAGAGACACGGGGAGAGACACGGGGAGAGACACGGGGAGAGACACGGGGAGAGACACGGGGAGAGACACGGGGAGAGAGACACGGGGAGAGACACGGGGAGAGACACGGAGGGAGAGACACGGGAAAACACGGGGAGAGACACGGGGAGACACGGGGAGAGAGACACGGGGAGAGAGACACGGGGGAGACACGGGGAGACACGGGGAGTGAGACACGGGGAGAGACACGGGGGAGACACGGGGAGACACGCGGAGAGAGACAAGGGGAGAGACACGGGGGGAGACACGGGGAGACACGGGGAGAGACACGGGGAGAGACACGGGGAGAGACACGGGGGGTGGAGACACGGGGAGAGACACGGGGAGACACGGGGAGAGACACGGGGTGAGACACGGGGAGAGAGACACGGGGGAGACACGGGGAGAGACACGGGGGGAGACATGGGGAGAGACACGGGGAGAGAGACACGGGGAGAGACACGGGGAGAGACACGGGGAGAGATACGGGGAGAGACACGGGGAGAGACACGGAGGGAGAGACACGGGAAAACACGGGGAGAGACACGGGGAGACACGGGGAGAGAGACACGGGGAGAGAGACACGGGGGAGACACGGGGAGACACGGGGAGAGAGACACGGGGAGAGACACGGGGGAGACACGGGGAGACACGCGGAGAGAGACAAGGGGAGAGACACGGGGGGAGACACGGGGAGACACGGGGAGAGACACGGGGAGAGACACGGGGGGTGGAGACACGGGGAGAGACACGGGGAGAGACACGGGGTGAGACACGGGGAGAGAGACACGGGGGAGACACGGGGGGAGACACGGGGAGACACGGGGAGAGACACGGGGAGAGACACGGGGGGTGGAGACACGGGGAGAGACACGGGGAGAGACACGGGGTGAGACACGGGGAGAGAGACACACGGAGAGACACGGGGGAGACACGGGGAGAGACACGGGGAGACACGGGGAGAGAGACACGGAGACACGGGGAGAGACACGGGGTGAGACACGGGGGGAGACACGGAGGGAGAGACACGGGGAGAGATACGGGGAGAGACACGGGGAGAGAGACACGGGGAGAGACACGGGGAGAGACACGGGGAGACACGGGGAGAGACACGGGGAGCGACACGGGGAGAGAGACACGGGGAGAGACACGGGGAGAGACACGGAGGGAGAGACACGGGAAAACACGGGGAGAGACACGGGGAGACACGGGGAGAGAGACACGGGGAGAGAGACACGGGGGAGACACGGGGAGACACGGGGAGAGAGACACGGGGAGAGACACGGGGGAGACACGGGGAGACACGCGGAGAGAGACAAGGGGAGAGACACGGGGGGAGACACGGGGAGACACGGGGAGAGACACGGGGAGAGACACGGGGGGTGGAGACACGGGGAGAGACACGGGGAGACACGGGGAGAGACACGGGGTGAGACACGGGGAGAGAGACACGGGGGAGACACGGGGAGAGACACGGGGGGAGACACGGGGAGAGACACGGGGAGAGAGACACGGGGAGAGACACGGGGAGAGACACGGGGAGAGATACGGGGAGAGACACGGGGAGAGACACGGAGGGAGAGACACGGGAAAACACGGGGAGAGACACGGGGAGACACGGGGAGAGAGACACGGGGAGAGAGACACGGGGAGAGAGACACGGGGGAGACACGGGGAGACACGGGGAGAGAGACACGGGGAGAGACACGGGGGAGACACGGGGAGACACGCGGAGAGAGACAAGGGGAGAGACACGGGGGGAGACACGGGGAGACACGGGGAGAGACACGGGGAGAGACACGGGGGGTGGAGACACGGGGAGAGACACGGGGAGAGACACGGGGTGAGACACGGGGAGAGAGACACGGGGGAGACACGGGGAGAGACACGGGGGGAGACACGGGGAGAGACACGGGGAGAGACACGGGGGGAGACACGGGGAGAGAGACACGGAAACACGGGGGAGACACGGGGAGAGACACGGGGAGAGACACGGGGAGACACGGGGGGAGAGACACGGGGAGAGACACGGGGAGAGACACGGGGAGAGGCACGGGGAGACACGGGGGGAGAGACACGGGGAGAGACAGGGGGAGAGACACGGGGGAGACACGGGGAGAGACACGGGGAGAGACACGGGGGGAGACACGGGGAGACACACGGGGAGAGAGACGGGGAGAGAGACACGGGGAGACACGGGTAGACACGGGGAGAGAGACACGGGGAGAGAGACGGGGAGAGAGACACGGGGAGAGAGACACGGGGAGACACGGGGAGAGAGACACGGGGAGACACGGGGAGAGAGACACGGAGACACGGGGAGAGACACGGGGAGACACGGGGGGAGACACGGGGAGACACGGGGGGAGACACGGGGGGTGGAGACACGGGGAGAGAGACACGGGGAGAGAGACACGGAAATACGGGGGGAGACACGGGGAGACACGGGGGAGCACGGGGGAGACACGGGGAGACACACGGGGGAGACACGGGGGGTGGAGACACGGGGGGTGGAGACACGGGGGGTGGAGACACGGGGAGAGACACGGGGGGTGGAGGCACGGGGGGTGGAGACACGGGTAGACACGGGGAGATACACGGAGACACGGGGAGAGAGACACGGAGACACGGGGAGAGACACGGGGGGAGACACGGGGGGAGACACGGAGGGAGAGACACGGGGAGAGATACGGGGAGAGACACGGGGAGAGAGACACGGGGAGAGACACGGGGAGAGACACGGGGAGAGACACGGGGAGAGAGACACGGGGAGAGACACGGGGAGAGACACGGGGAGAGATACGGGGAGAGACACGGGGAGAGACACGGAGGGAGAGACACGGGAAAACACGGGGAGAGACACGGGGAGACACGGGGAGAGAGACACGGGGAGAGACACGGGGGAGACACGGGGAGAGACACGGGGGAGACACGGGGAGACACGGGGAGAGAGACACGGGGAGAGACACGGGGGAGACACGGGGAGACACGCGGAGAGAGACAAGGGGAGAGACACGGGGGGAGACACGGGGAGACACGGGGAGAGACACGGGGAGAGACACGGGGGGTGGAGACACGGGGAGAGACACGGGGAGACACGGGGAGAGACACGGGGTGAGACACGGGGAGAGAGACACGGAAACACGGGGGAGACACGGGGAGAGACACGGGGAGAGGCACGGGGAGACACGGGGGGAGAGACACGGGGAGAGACACGGGGGGAGACACGGGGGAGACACGGGGGGAGACACAGGGAGAGACACGGGGAGAGACACGGGGAGAAACACGGGGAGAGACACGGGGGAGATACGGGGGGAGACACGGGGGAGACACGGGGAGAGACACGGGGGGAGACACGGGGAGAGACACGGGGAGAGACACGGGGAGAGACACGGGGAGAGACACGGGGGAGACACGGGGGGAGACACGGGGGAGACACGGGGGGAGACACGGGGAGATACACGGGGAGAGAGACACGGGGAGAGACACGGGGAGAGACACGGGGGAGACACGGGGAGAGACACGG